TATATATATGTATGTATGAAAAATATATCAAAAATGCATGTGTGTACTCAAATGAAAGCTCTTGATGAGTGTAACATCTGGATGAGCTTATATCTTTAAAAATATCAATAGTTAAGAAAGTAGAGTGCAATTTAACAAGTCATTATTTAATAAAGCAAAATTTTATTTATTTATAATTCACAAATCCCGGTAGTCCTATAGTGACTGCAAAATTGCTAGTTATTTTTTATTTTTAAAATTATCTTGAGTTACTTATAAATACTTATTATACTATTTTCTATTTACAGACCCGAGGTAAAAAAAGATTCTAATGGTATTGAATCACGAAGTGCAATAGGACATCACCCTGTGATAACGTTCGCGTATGACCCGTACGTAAATCCTGATAATAACTCAAGTCTTCCTGATATTGTAATACAAGGAGTATTGGACGGTATTTATAACCCATAGAGTTCACGTTTATTTATTTTTAAATTTTAAAATCAACATATCGCCAAATGAACTAAATAATTTAAAAAAAAAAGTAATAATAGTTGTATCAACTCATCTGTGATGTAAATCTGTAAATTATATATTTAAATACATAAATTTTTATTTTCACTGTACAAATAATCGCTTAAGTTTGATTACCAATTACGTATTTAAGGTGTTACTTTAAAGGTATTGATTATCGCTTAAAGATACGTAAATTCTTAAGTAATGACCTAATGACACTTGCCCTCTAGTCGTGGTGAATAATAGCAGCGATGACTCACGACTAATGAGTCGTCTAGGGTTTACAGTCTCGAGTTTCACGGTGTATAATATGGATTACTAATAAAATCCAAATGGGTGTAGTCAGTGAGGGAATAGTAATAAAGGACCAAGGACGGGGACATAATATTAAAAAAGTCATTAAAATTTAATAAACATTATTTGTTTTAATTTTATTGTATAATTGCCTTATTTATTTATTTCACCTCGTTTTATTATTTTATTTGTTCAGTTTTGGAGTACAGTAATTAGTGACAATGATCTTAATCGTCTATTTCCTATCGAGTATCGGTTGCTTTTTATAAATGTTAACTCATAACTCATATATATATACTTATTTATTTATATATATAAACCGCAATTAAAATTGCATTACCCTATTAATATTCATTTACAATCTAAATTAGGCGTCGTTACATAATGTTTTTTTTATTATAATAAAAATAATTATAATTAATTAAAAAAAATATCTCAGCATTAAATCCATAAAATAATTTACATTTTTTTTTAATATAAAATAAAATAATACAATAATAATTTTTTGAACTCGCTCTCATAAATTTTATAAATTTATTTTGATAAAAAAAAATTTTTTAATATATTTATTAAAATATTTTAATTTAATAAGTATGAAAAGTTTTATTCATATATATATTGCCGCGTAATTTATATTTATGTATATAAAAAAAATTATTAATTAATTAATCAACTGATTAAATGACTGCGGTACGATTTTGTCTATAACTTTAATAATAATAATAATAATAATAATAATAATAATAATTACAAAATTAATATAATTGAAGTATATATTATTGATGCGTGTCCGCAGTATGTACAAGCTTTTCAGTCTTGCGCGGAGTTCTGCTGTCACTTTCCAATAAATTTAAAGACCCTCGATACAATTTTTATTTTTTATTTAAAATTAAACGGCATTGGAGTTTTATTTATTCATTTATAATTTTATATAAATATTTATTATTATTTATAATGACTAGGGTCAAGATTTTCGCTTTAATTTCAAAATAAATGAATATTTATTATTACAGCAAAAATATTGGTCATAAAAAAAAAGTTTTGAAACAAAAGTAGAAAATTTAATATTCTAAAAAAAATGTTTTATAATTTTTTTATACGATCAATATTTTCCCCGTAATTTTAAGAAATAAATAAAATAATTAATAATTCAAATTTTTGCTATGAAAATTTTAATTTTTAAGTTAACTTTTATTTAAAAAAATTTTTTATACGACCAATATTTTCATCGTAATATTAAAAATTAAATATAATTAATAATTAATTGTTATTTTGAAATTAGAGCAAAAATCTTGGCCCTAATAATGACAATTGACAAAAAAATCTAACATAGGTATAGGTAGACAAACATATGGAGGTTTAATGTAAGTATATATAGTTAATGTCATGATTATTTATCATTAATTACCTATTATTATTATTAATATCAATCACGAGGCTACATAAATGAGATTCCATAAAGCGCGTAAAAGTCTTTAAAAAATATAGTAAACTATCTTAGTAGTAATAATAATAATAATAATAATAATAATAATAATAATAATAATAATAATAATAATTACAATAGTAATATAAAAAAATTGTAATCAATAATGAGTAATGACATGGAAATTGTTCTATTAAAAAAAGGTCTTACTGCGTAACGCGTCACATTTAGGCAAATAAAAATGAATAATAAAATATTTACAAGTTAGCCTAGGCTAACCGATTTAAATATACTAAGTTTTAATAATATTTATTATTTAATAATTATTTTTATTATTATTACATATAAAAAAATCGCAGGAGTAGCATTTTATTATTATTATTATTAGCTTTGTCATGATTGCTTGGCATAAAGAATACCTTAAAAAACAGGGCAAAGATGTCTTTATGATAAATTATGTGCACGTGATGCTCGATGCATTAAAAATATACTGATAATATCTACAATAATATAATATATTATTATTTATTACATAATTTTTATTTTGCCGTTTTCGGTAATCCAAGTCCAAATAAAATAAATATTACAACACATTTATTAAACATTCATTACATTCAATAACAATTGTTTCTGTTTGTCCATTTGTTCATTTTTATTTTCAAGCTATAATTACTAGAATAAATAGAAAAGGTATTTTTATTATATTTATATTTGTTTGAATTATTGATCAAGCAATTACCGATTCTTTTGCTATTGATTTTTATTTTTATTTAAAAAAATTCAGATATTGATAAATATTTGACTATATTTTAAGTTTAAACGAGCAGAGTATCTCTCTATTGTTTCTGGCATATTTATTTACATAAAATATATTTGTTGTTGGCACAGCGTTATATCGTGTGCCTGGACTGCCATCGAGCCTTATATCCTTATCTCTCGACTATCTGTCCTCCCTTTTTATTTTCATTTTGTCTGTATGTTTTATGTTGAATGCGTTATTGTTGTACAGAATATGCAATGCGGAATTCAACTAAAATACCCAATAAATTCAACTTTATAAAATTGATATTTCGATTAATAAATTGACAGTTGTATACAGCTCAACTCTCTCCAGTTTATTTAAATCCAAATTTATCGTAGATGTAATATAAATTCAATTGATATTTTTAAATATTTTATCTTCTAAGTAATTAATATTAATCCGGTCGGTGCAACTCCGCGCGACGATCTGTACAAGCACAGTAAGACAGTTTATAAATTGTCTACAAAAAGGCCACTAAAATATTATTTTTATTTATTTTTTAGCGATCGGATCTACGTCAGCTGGTTCTTGAGCGTAATCGCGATTACTTAGACTTAAATATTGTTTAATATTTCATATTATTCGCTTAAGAACTTGCTGTCGCGACGACCTATTGGCAGTCCTGGCTTACAATGGAATGTTGCGATTATATATTTTATTAAAAACTCATTCGAAACAATAGATTATCCGTCGACGGATCATGAAATACGGCATCCAGCTATTCTAACGTGTAAATAAAATATTTTTTTTTTTTTATTATTAATTATTACTGTTTAATATATATATATTTATATATCATGTAATATTATTTTTTATACAATTGTATCGTCGAAAAGTTTCACTGTTGCTATTTAAATAATTATATTTTTAGTCTGCTGCGCAATTGTGAATAATTGCAAGCAGATATAAACTCCAAATGACCGTCGAGGCGATAATATTTTTTAGTCAATTAATTTTTAAAAATAACAAAATATTTTATTACATAATAATCCATCACTCGATCATGCTAATCGAGAACTATTAATTAATTAATTACAAATTTTAGTACTTATTATTTTTGTCCCTCATATCATTTTTTTTTATACTTTTCTTCAAATACTTTTTTACTTAATTCTGTACACGTAATCATTCCGGGGTACTAGAATTTTAATAATAAAATCATTTTATACATGTACAGTCAAATATATATTTGTATTTATATTAATATATATAGTTACAGAATATGCCCCGAAATAAAATTTCCAGTAGTTAATTAATAATAATAATAATAATAATATTTTTTTTTTTTCACATTTAATTTTCGGTAAATTCTACAAATCTAATTAATATCTTTCATTCATCATTAAACTACTTACACTCGATAAATCACCATGAGATACCCTTGGGGTGGGAGGGGGTGTGGGTGGGGAGGGCTGCGACAGAATGTCCTTAGGGAATATAAATTTAAATTTATAATTTATGTCCCTTTCAGGTATCCAGAGCATGGCGATATTGCAATAAATTTATTTACCTGTTGTGTTTTTTTTTATTTAAAAACTTAAACTTTTATTTTATTTATTTTATTATCCCTCTTTATTTATTTCTCCAGAAGCATATATTTATATGTATCAGTATAAATGTAAAATAGGAGCCATATTCTGGTTGTATCTTTTGTGAATACTATTTAATAAATTTCCATACAGTCGCAGCAGCAGTAGCAGCAGCAGCAGCAGCAGCAGCAGCAGCAGCGTGGAATAAAGGAGCAAAGGGGAATGAGGTGCCGTGAAAGGAATGAAGGAGAAGGAGAAGGTAAACGGCAAAATGCATTGCATTAGATTATTATTATTATTATTATTTTAAAAAGCGATGTACAAAAAAGTGGTTACGCATGCCTATCCCCACTCACCTATCGACTATCTCGACGGATAAATGATAATATTTATGTACACATATAATATGATTTTTAAGAATAAAAAATAACGTTTAATAAAAACCCCCGCCGAGATAGAAGTTGTGTTTTTAAAAATACTGTACCGAAGACATTAAAGATATTAGATTAAATTAATAGTCCTTATTTCCTACTCCTTACTATTACAATTAAAATATATATATATATATATATATATATAATATAAATATTTACATAATATATGTTAAAGTGAATTTAGCGCAACTTGGGTTTAGTTGGCCAGTCCCCGTATCGTATTATATATAACCAGTACTACATAACAGCCTGCCGATTACGATATAATATAAGTGAGCCATCGGGTACACCGTCGTCGATTATCCTGATCCTGATCCTGATCCAGATTGTGATCCCTTTCCTCTACTCTCTACTCGGACACACCATTACATCTCGAGGTATCTGTTTAGTTAGATGGTGTATAATAGTAGTTGGATGTTAGGCTCGATCGATTCGAACCAATTACCATTAATCCATGATTGTAACTTATACAAGTACACACAGACAAGTAGACCCCCCTCCCCCCCTCCACCCTCCTCCCGTGCGAGTATTCTCCTAATATCCACATTCAGCAAATTCACTACAGCTTTACTTTCGATCAGCTATCTCATTACCTACGATATTGAACTTGCGCCAGCTGGTTACACTCGTACATACAAATAGTACTATCAACTTGTCTATCAACTCTTTATCCTCCTCGTGTCTCACTAACTTTAACTAACGGCCTATTTCTATACTTGTCTTTTTCCTTATTATCCTTATGTTATTAGTATTAGTTGTTACTACCTTTAATTCCCGCATCGGTCTCTCTATTTACGATAACCATTATCCATTACCTAGCAAAACGCCAACAAAAATACATGGAAGGCACGCCTCATCAGCTGAGTATGCTTATTATTGTTAATACGCATAATAACGAATTTTATTTTAATATTTTTAATCATTATCTTAATATTTGTTCAATTAAAAAATTTATTTAGCTTCATCTAAATACCTAACAGGCCACTACTAGAACACAGTTCATTCGTATCACATTTAACTATTTATTCTCTCTTTGCTATTTGCTCGATGTCCAACCACGCCTACTTTATTCAATTTATCAATAATATATAATGTATTATTTTTACTTAATATTTTTTTTTTTTCTATTTTCCAATAAAACAATTATTAAAAAAATTAATAAAATCTCTCACACATGAGCGAATACCTCTCGACGACTTAGGACCCACTCATTAGCATTATTCAGGGGACAATAAAGCTTAGCTTACCACACAAAAAGTTATTCAACAATTGTACTCGATTGTGTTGCACCCTTTCTTGATAACCGCCGCAGGTTTAGTTGCTGACTCTAGGAGCTGTTGTCGCTTGCTCAAAGTGCCGTATAAATTTTTATCCTTACCCTCTAATTTAATCTTACTCTCTAAAATTCCAGTTACGTGGTTCAGACGGTCCTGGAGGGTGTTCAAACTGGCGTAACTGGATTCTCTCTCGGGAGTGCCGGCTCCAAATCCCCGGGAAGGATCCACCGGTATTGTTTGCTCGGGATTGTTGTCATCGTAAGGAATTCCACCTACCTCTACCTGGGAGGAGTGGTGCTTCCAGGGAAAGGAGACCTGGCTGAGATCTGAAAGCTCGGGTCTTGCAACGTACATCAACATGTCGTTGAAGTTCGGCAGAAATTCGGGGTTGAAGAGCGATAGGGTGCGGGAGTCGCTGGTCGGCCGGTTGGGCTCGTGCGTCGGAACCATGTAGTGCTCGCGAGAGCCCTCCTTGAACTTGCTCTGGTCGAGCTTCTGGTGTGGGTGGCCCCGTCGACGCCGCTGGTACGAGAGCGAGCCACTGGTGGTGTCCAGGTGGTCCAGCGACTCGGTGAACTTGGACCGGGGAACCGGGGTCGAGGCTCGCGTCGATTTGGCCGCGGTGTCGCTGTAAATCCTGGCTGACCGCTCGAGATTGTCCTCGTGGTTGGAGCTCCTCTCGGCGAGGAACTCCGGGTTGACGATGAGGTCGTAGCTGGGCGGCTCGAAGGACTGGTGGTGGCTGCCGGAGACGTGTCTCAAGTCTGCCTCGGAGCTGGTGCAGGAGACGGTCGAGGCGGGCGGGAGGGAGTTTCTCCGAGGGATCGGCGTGGTTATAGAACTAGGTGGCTTACTTTCCGATGCTGAATCGTAGCACTCGTAGTCGTAGTGCTCGTGCTCGTTGTTGTATGAGTTTTCCGACTCGGTGGCGGCCTCGGAGGAGCTCGAAGCCACGGTTCCGTCGCGCGGGGGCAAGCCTCAAACGGCTCGTCGTCTTCTGTATCATATATACGTCTTCTTAACCTTCTGCATGGGCTTGTTCTCCGCCGAGCTGTTTGCGTTTTTCCCGTTCGGGTTTTTCGGCGTAACATTAAGGACCAGATTTATCGACTTGTTATTGAAACCCGCCGGGGATTCCGAGCTTTCCGTCAGCCGGTTTAACTGCTGACGCTGCTCCGGTGGATCGGGATAAGGCGCGCCTCTTAGCCGCTGGGAAAACCAGAATCCCGACGCGAACCCCGCAATCAGCGAGAAGAAGCAAGTTCCGATCAGCGCTCCGGTTAATGTTTGAGCTGAGTACACCACCGGCGTTACTGTTACTCCTGTAATCAATAAAATAGTTACTTGTACGATAGTTTATAGGATTTACAATCGCTAGCACCCCAGATAATACTAGCATGCTTATAAATTATAAATATAAATAAGCTAACCATTTTATATCAATTTTTTCTTTTAAATATTGTTAGTATCAGTATATAAGAAATTCAAGATCTTTTTTAATATTTTAAAAGCTATACTTTAAATAAATTTCTTTTTTTTCCAAACAAAAAGTTTTAATTGGGTATAACCTTTTAAAATATTAGAATAAATTGATTGTATTGTGATGAATGAAACTTTCACCTTGTGCTGTGTGTTAATGATGGTGAGTCAACAAAATTTATTTATCACACTTAGAACCAAATGAAACAGATTACGAAAAATTCCACTAGGACATGATAAATTGATAGCTCTTAATAACTATTGTGTTATTGAATAAGTTACACAATCAATCAATCGATCAATTAATTATTCATACTAATTAAATGATATCAATATTCATTAATTAACAGACTTCTCGTTAGTGGCCGTCGCTCTGTTATTTTATTATAATCTTTTGCTAATTGATTGGATTTATATTGATTGTGTATTTGTGTGTTGTTTGATAAAAAGAGTGTAAAAGCGATGAAAAACGATCAATTTATATAAAGGCAAGGTTTCTTAAGCTGGTTGATTACCTTGAGGTTCATTAGCTCGTGGTTGAGTTCGACTGTATTGATTTTCCCGATCCAATTCGATGACGATTTCATTGTCACGTTCGTCGGGCTGCTCGCCGATCCCGATTCGTGGGGGCATCACTGGAGGCACCGGCTTCGCCAGGTCCAAATCAACATTCACTAATCGAGAGAGTAAGGACATTACGATAATACACAGGAAGATGCCAATGATTGATTCATTTTAATTTAAATTAAAGACAACTTCTACTTTAATTAAGCTATTCCCGTTTTTAAAACTGATTATAAATGTGTTAGAACTTTATATTAGTTAGAAATTACAGTTAGTAAGAGTAACAGAACATAAAAAGTGTTGGAAAGGTTATTTATTATTTTTCCAATACTTAAGTAAAGATATATATATATAGAGAGAGAGAGAGAGAGAGAGAGAGAGAGACGAGTAATGAGGAGACAGTGATGGAAGAGAAAAATACTTGCCAGGAGTTTATTTTTTTTCTTATTAGAGATAAGATTAAAATTTAAAAGCTGATAGATGCACGTGAGTCTAAGAAGAGACTAAGACATTTATAAATAATAAAATAAAACAAATAACAAAAAAACAATTTTTGATAATATGGTATGGTAGTATGTTGTGTGTTAGTTTGTCAGGAATACAGAGGGTTAATATAATAACCAAAGTTGTGATGACATGTAAGCAACTTTTAAAGACAAAGGCAGTGTTGATAAATAATCCGGATGGTGCTGGGAGGCTGGCGATTCACAGTGGAATCCACAGAAAAAGAGAGCTGGTTTTTCGATAAATAAATATATACAGATGTATAATCTAAATTATTATGAGAATAAAAAAAAATTTTGTCTCCAATATAGTCATATGATAAAATCTGTTTTTTTTAGTGTTATTGCAAACGTATTGACTTGAATTTGTATATTTTCATTCTTATCGATAGTCAATTTATTATAATAAGTATTTAGGCTGCATTCGAAAATTCTCTATCTCTAGATACAAAATTCAGAAATGACCTTGTAACTTGAGAACTATTGACATTTTTAAAGATATAAGCTCATCTCGATGTTACACTCATCAAGACCTTTCATTTGAGTACCCACATCAATTTTTCATATATTTCATATATTTATATCTATATTATATATATATATTATTTAAAATATATAAAAAATGCCATGTGGGTATTTAAATGAAAGGTCTTCGTCGAGACCTTTCATTTAAATACCTACATCAATTTTTCATATATTTTATATATATATATATATATATATATGTATATATGAAAAATATATGAAAAATGCATGTGGGTATGTATGCTTATATCTTTAAAAATGTCAATATTTAAGAAAGTACAGTGCAATTTAACAGATATCTTGTGAATTATTAACATTTTTAAAGACATAAGCTCACCTCGACATTACACTCGTCGAGACCTTTCATTTAAATACCTACATCAATTTTTCATATATTTTATATATATATATATATATATATATGTATGCATGAAAAATATATGAAAAATGCATGTGGGTACTCAAATGAAAGGTCTCAACGAGTGTAATGTCGGGATGAGCTTATATCTTTAAAAATGTCAATAGTTAAGAAAGTACGGTGCAATTTAACAAAAGTAATTATTATAACAAAAAGGATTAATGAGAGTCTGAGACTATAGATCTGTATATAAATATCCTATCAGTGTGAGTAAAGATAGACTTATGTATGGTACCTTGTTGGGCGCCGCATCCCTTGTGTTTTCCGGTGATGATATCTTGGAATAGGGTCTTGCTGGCGTCATTGTCGTGTAACTTAGTTGGCACAGCGACGCACAAATCCATCGTAGCGTCCCAGGCGCAATGCGGATCCTGAAGAGCGACGCAGGCGACGCAGGAGTTTACTGCTGCCGGGCTGTCGCAGTGATGGAGCGGGACCGCGCGTATCTCCGAGTCCGCGATAACCACCAATTTGCTCGCCTCGCCGGCCAGATGAACCACTTGGAGATCCTTGATGGCTTGACCTGAGGAACCAACGGCATTCAATCACTGGCTCCTCCAGGTGACTGGTAACCATAATAACAATGCTAATGACAATGACTTACCGTATCGCAGCACTTGGACGTCACTCACGATGACTTGGCCCACTTCTGCTAACGAGTCGGGGGCTTTTGTGTTGAGGGCTTTGATGACTCGCCCATCGTCTGCAATTAAATAAATGTTAATGTCGTGATGATGAGGAGGAAGAAAATGAAAATGGAGATCAAGAGAGAAGAGATTGAATAGGAATAGACGAAATTTATCTGAATAATTCATTGAATAATAACAATCGAGAAGAGTATACTATAGGGTAGTAGCACGATGGGGCTTATATTACTCACCAGTTCCTATGTAAAGTATGTCATAAGTTCTGCCATCGAGAGCTTTAACTTGGGGATCAACAGCCACCCTCGTGAATCTGTAATTGAAACTGACTTTGGTGAGGACCGGAAGGGTGAAGAACGACTGCACCGCATCGTCCATCAGGGGGTGGGTCTTAACGAAATTCACGGTTATGTCGGGCAGCGTCCTGGAGTCGTTGACGCAAGCACCTGGTCGCGGCTCTGGTACCTTTTCCGGGAGCACGCGCAGCCAGTTGCTGTTTATCGTTTCCTGCTCTTTGAACGCCCCCTGGAAGACGTCGAACACACTGCTCATCGAGAAGGCGCACACCGCCGAGCCGCTAATTGAGTTAACTGGCGTAGTGAAGATCCCGTAAATCAGCTGGTCGTGGCGGCCCGCGTAAAAACCTGTCGTCGGGTCGCTCATCGACTCTGAAAAAATAAAAAAAATTTTTATTAAAACTCTAAATGGCTATGAGCTTGCTTTGAATTACGAGGAAACTTTTATCGGGCAAAAAATTAAATTAATTATTTTAATTAAGTTTTTAACTTCATTAATTATTGAGGTTGTTCTGCGGATTGATATTCCAGAGCATTGATTGGATTTTAAATATTTAATCAAGTATTAAGTGATCAATATTTCTGGGCTAAGTAAAATTACCTCGTAAAACTGATGTGTTAATTAATTAAGTGATAATTGATTCTCCGTTAAGTTGAAGAACATTTCAAAAATTAATGTACTGCATGATTAATAAGTTTCTTTTTTTATAGTTAAATTGTACCTCAAAAATAGTATTATTCAACTGTTTACGTCAGAGAGATAAAAATTGACCAGTAACTCAGAGAAGAAATAATAAAGACTCAATTGTTCTATAAAATCTTGCAGTTGATTAATCATTCTCGAGTTTTGATAAAATTATCTTGCTAAAACTGGCTTGTTAATTTATAAACAAATGCTCTGTTTAATTAATTTAACAAGGCTTGTCTTTATTTGGAATTATCTTTAAGAATTTAAAGATTATTTCAGGACTTATTATCCTACGTTAATAATTAACAGCCTAGAGAATTCTATTCTTGTGACTGATGAGCGGATGAATATTTAATTAAGTTTGGAACTGACGTTCAAAATGAATTTACAAATATAATTTATAGGAAGAGAGAAATTTGTGGGTCGTGAAAGCGCAGGGGTGAGAATGGTCTATAGCTTTCGTGCAGAAAGTTTTGAAAAAGTAAGTGAATTGAATATCGTTTGTTATTTGTTATTTTAACGGTGGGATTCCATTGCCCGCAAACTTGGTTACTTTATCCCGTCACAAATGATCGATTTGTCTGTATGAAACTTTGTAAATCTAACTCTTCTGCTCCATTTCACAATGTAGGTACTTGCACTTAGCTGCAGTGTGAATGTGGGTGGTACGCCGCGGCCCAGATATTTTCACACAGGGTTGAAAAGTTTCCGACTATTTCCAATATTCGCGTGGCGCTCAACGGTTGGCTAAACGTCAACCATGCGGCAACCAGCAAAACCAAGAAGAAGAAGAAGAAAGAAGAAAGAACAACCGGCTAAGTGAAGAAAAGAAGAAGAAGAATAGAATTCCAACCGGCGCTTTGAAAAGTTCTCACGGTGAATCAGATTTGGAAGCTCTCGTTCCTCGCTTATTCCATCTTTCTTTTTATTTTTCTCATTCTCTTACGTTTGGTTCTCTATTTCGTAGATTCTGAGTCGCGTATTTTCACAACCGAGTTGACACTTTGATGCCACGAGTAGAAAACTTTTTGGCTTTTGCGTAACAAGTTTGTGCCCGAGTGAAATCGAATGAAAAGAGGAAGCAACCGCTCTGCTACAAACTAAAGAAAACTCTCCTAGTGAATAAAATAAATAGACAGATATTTTATTTTATAGGTTACGAGGATTAACTTAAACTTTGGGGCTTGTTGGTGCTTTCAGTGGATCTACTAATTACCAGCTTTTAATTGCTCGGCCCTTTTCCAAAGATTACTCCTCCGATCGTTGGCAAATAAAATCTCGTCACTGAGCGAGCTATAAATTGAAAAACCAAATTACAAAATTACTGTAATTTAATGAAAACTTTAGATTTTTTTTAATCATTTTCCGCAGTCTAACTATTTTAATAAACTTTAACGCAACTCCGTCAATTAAACGGTAAAGCGATTAAATTAAAATTTAAGCGCCGCTGTAGGTTACAGCTCATCAACTATTACTTCTGCAGAGTAATAACAATAACCCGTTAAATAATGAGTTACTGTCAGAGATCCGAGGTGGGTTTCGTTAATACAGCAATAACAAAAATATTTTAAAATTCCGAGTACCCTCGGGGTAATAAAAGATATAAAAATAAAATAAAAAAAGTAAATTCAATTGCCAATCGATATTTGACTTCTGAAGCATACTAAAAAACCTCATCTATTTTTTTCGATCCAATTTTCTCGGAGTTAAAATCAAATATATGTAGAGAACGTGAAGCATTTCCTGCCAGACGAATGACTCAAGTAATGTTAGTTTAAAGTAAAAAATAAATAAATAAAATAAAATAAAAAATAATGCACGGGTTTGTCTAAAGTACACATCTCTTCTCTTCTCTTCTCTTCTCTTCTCTTCTCTTTTCCGTATATGTATGTATAAATGGAATGGAATGGCCTCTCGTAGCCCAAGTCATAGACGTGGATGGTCTTCTATCCTGGAGGACTTGGAGAGAACTCTGGCAGAATCCGCGACCCGCATCTGGCTCCTGGCCAGCCGTCGGATATCGTGGATTTCGATTCAACGTACGGTTCGGATAGCACGCCTGGGTTTTTTACGAGCCAGCCAGTCAGCCAGCTAGCCAGCCACGACTTTAACCCGATCGAGAAACTGCAACGACGTCCCTTACAGAGATTCCAAATACGATTTATACAAGCAAGCCGGGCTCTCCTGCCTCCTGTCTCCAACCTCCAGATCCTAGCTGTTGTACCCAATTCTCATGGGTAAGTCAACCGCGCATAGAGTACAAGACGCCAGCCAGCCAGCCAACCAGTTCAGTTCACCTCAGTTATATGTATTATATCCCACCTAGCAAACGTATTCCACGTTTTACGTCTTACGTCTACGTCTACCTCTCGCTTCGCTTCGTTTATTCCTACGTTTTCACTAAAGAGACAGTAGATCCCTACTCTTGGCTCTCCTTTAAATTAAATCCACATCAGTCGAATCCGTTTACCCAATTAATTGTCACAGCGCAAACTTTCTTCGTCCTCGTTATTATTGTTTCAGCGCAAAGTTATATTGAGTAATGTCTTTGCCGGAAAAAACTGCTAAAGGAGAAAAGGAGTAAGATATCGGGATAATGAAGGTGAGACTTACGTATTTCATTGAAGTAAAAGGGATATTCCCCAGGGACCGAACAGTTGAGTCTTGCTTTTAGGAAGGTCGTCCATCTGTCGCTGAAGGCATGTGGACCACCTTTATCATGTTGGCACACTCTTGCTACCCGTGAATAAACCGCCTGAAAAAGGAAACCATGTATATATGTATTATGTATTATATATGTAATGGGAGAAATGAGTTGTATGCCTGCCAGACATTTTAATCGTCATTTTAATCTAGTGACGTAAAATGTCGCCAAAAACCAACTGCGGCTCCGATCTCTACCCTGAAAAAATCCCTCATACTGTGATACTGATATGGAAAATTGCTTTTGTAAAGTTAAAGGGTATGCCTTTTCTTTGATACATATAACATATAATAATTCCTGATTAATGATCTACCATACATTGGGGATTGAAGTTAAAACTTTAGATGAAATTTCTTCTTAAACTTTAACAAAATTCCTTTCAGCAATTAGCAAATGCAATTACCGGTGAAAATATGGTTTTCTCAATTCAAGAATTACATCGTAAACTTCGATCGAACTCTTCAAAGGTCAGATATTTTAGTATTTACCTTTGATCAGTAATTAGTATAAGGTGGAAATCAAGTTAAGAGAATTATTTCAAATTATATTGAAAATTCTGTACAATAATCAAGTTTAATTTAAGGATTTAATATAAATTACGTTTGAATTGCTATTATACAAAGAGTTTTTCAAGTTTTATATACTTTTAACAATCCAGATTTATCTTTGAGTGGAATGAAACATCGGAATTATAAAAGTTTTATTGTAAAAATCTGAAGAAACAAAATTTACTTTGGTGTATTTTTTTTTTTTAATTTTATATTTGAAAAATAAATATCTAAATGACAAATCAAAATAACTTTGGTTAAAATTTTTTTCTCAATATAATCTGAGAATAAAGTGAGCAAGAATAAAGTTGATTAAAAATTGAATAATTTCTCAATGTTGCTAAATTTATTTTCAAATTTAATTTGAAACAAGTGTGTCATAAAATATCAACGCTGTTTTATCGAAATATAGAACAAGTTAGAGTTTTTTCTGGTTTTGATTGATACTTGGGATATCTTATGCCAGCATTCGATCTCGACTGCTGTTTTATTAATCTAGCCATAAATATATGAGGTGACCTACCTTCCCGCAGTTCATATACTCGACAGCCGTCTCTCTGTAGAAGAAAAAGACATAGTCTCCGTAAGCGAACGAGCTGACAAAGTTTGGACCTGAAAATAGACAATAAACTCATTTAAATAAATAAATGATAATTTAATTTTAAAATTCAACTGTCGCACTGTCACTTAGCGGCATAAACTAGAGTAAAGTTTAAATCCAACTGCGAGCGCTCTGTACACCGGAGATATGAATTATAAATATATATATTATTTTTACCGTTTAATTGATTGAGATCTGACCGCTCGGTTCGTATTTTCTGCCTGTGTATCAGCGGCTCACCACCGGAAAAATCCGCTACAGTCGCTGCGTACAATTGTCCGCCTGAAATTTTAATATCATTAAAAAATTTATTATTTAAATTAAAATTCGTATCGCTCTGTACAATCGTGTTATTTTATTTTTTAACTATTTATAAGCAGAGGGGTTTCAAACAAAATTAATCTGTTTAAAGATAAAATGATAAGTAATACAAATATTGAATATTGAAATTCAAATATTTCATTTTATATAATACTATTATATCATTGAATTTCCGGATTAAAATGTTCCATTAACTTAATTTCATTGTACAGCAGAATTTATTACGACATATTAATTATTCGTAAATTCTTACTGGAGAATTTTGTTAATAATTAAAAACGTGAGACGATTATTTCGACAAAATAAAGTAAGTGAAAAAGTATGGAAAAAGATTTTCATTTATTTAAGAGATTTAAATGAAAAGGATGACACAATTAAAATGAGCCGTCACCAAATTATTATTCAGATCCATTATTTTACGATTTAATATTCAAGAAAGGTAATAAATATTGAATTTAATTGTGTAGCGTTAAAAATAGGAGGATCGAGATTGGATGACAGGTTGGTGAGTAGAATAATATAGAAGATATCTGTTAGCTACGTAGGGGAATGGATAAGAAAAGCGGAAAAAGTTTAAGCGAAGAGAAAGAGGATAGATCTGAATAGATGCAGGTAGCTACAAATCTAGGAGCCGAGACCCGAGGCGATGTTGAAGCGTGAAGATACGTAATACACGGTTCAACAAAATACCGGGATCTTGCACCATTCTTCACTTGTGCCATGTTACTTTCATGTACATGCATACATATGTATGTATTTCAAGAACATTAGATCCCTGGTTCCTCCTCTTTCTATTCTGGGTCACCATGATGTTCGCCATAAAAGATACGGGAGTACGGAGACGGTAACATTTCATTTTATTTTATTTTATTTTATTTTCATACCCAGTTTAGTTTATCTATATAGGTTTTTTTTTTTTAATATCCCATCCTCGGATGGGTCCTCGCTCGTATCCGTCGACACTTACCGGCGAAAACTGCTGTGCTGTTGTGCTGTGGATCGTAAGGACAGAGACCGAGGCCATCACTCTCTCCTGAACCCACGTAAGACCCGTTCTGAAACAAAAGGGAGAAAAGTTTTTAGTAAAAAGTCGACACCAGATGTCAAGGAGCTTAAGTGAAAAACTACCACTCGATAGACAACCTTTTCTTCTTTTATTTATACCTTTTATATATATATATAATACGAATAATACATATGTGGATAGTTTTATACAAGTTGCTCTGATGGGTTTTGAAGGGAAGATTACACTTGGAAGATTGCCTCGTAAAACTCGGAGAATGTGAGAACGAGAAAGGCCAATGAATACTGAATTTGTATTTGAGAATGTACGCGAAGATGTCGGCGAGTCGATTTCCAGATAGAAATGCCGGGATACAAACGCAAGCTCTTAGATTTTATTGGCAGCTTATTTTCAGCAGCATCAAAAAAGGATAAAGAAATATTGAGGAGCGGATCAGTCGGATCAAGTTTGCCTTTCTTCCCTCCTGCTCTTCTTTCTCCTTTATAGGCGCTGTTCAACTTTTAAGAGTACACACATACTCTCCTCTGTATGTCTAAGGCTATGTCTACGTCTATCAGTATGACTATGGGGTGTACTTGGTGCTCGGGATAAAACCTACCCGGCTCTCATCGAACGCCGAACCAAAAAAAGTTTATAAATCCACTGCGTATAAAGATCTCTTTTTTGTTTTTTGTTTTTTTTTTTTTTTTTTTTTTTTTTTTTTTTTTTTTCTCGTTTTTGAGCAAACTTCCAGCGTAAATAAGTGAAAAATAGCCGTAAGCTAGATAAAAAGTGAAAAAATAATGATAGAGGAGTACAGCTCAACACAATATTGTTCCAAGCTGGAGCTCGACTTTCCTAAATGAGATTTCTGGTTAATGGGGCTATCAAAAACAATATTGATAAAGAAAAAGAATTATTTGAAAGTTTCAGCTGATTAAGTATTTGTATAAAGTTTTTAGGGATGATAGTAGCGATAGTGTTGGTGGAAGATTCAAAGTTTGTTTATAATGTTTTTATAGTTTGACGTGGAATGTGTTGAACGTAAAGCATACAGGTGATGTAAAAAGGGAAATGAACAAACAACGTAAAAGCGAGTAACTCGTTATCTCGTGAGAAGCTTCTTAACTTTACGTCTAATTATCATTAATTTGAAAAGTTTAGCCGGGGCTAGGGCCGGAGCTTTATGCTGCTGCGAATCCGAGCACCTAGAGCCTTCGTTATTTGCCCGTCACCGGTGTTCCTACCGCGCCATCAGTGCCACCGCGATGTCCCGAGTTTTACTTTGGGGAAGAAAACTTTAACAGAAGAACTCGAGCATCATAAATTCCTACAGTTGATGCACAAAACAATGCTGGAATAGCACATACGGGGTAGATTCTGTGTTATGTATGTATTTATGAATCTGGGTAGAGGTGAGTGTGTGCAAAAACACCCAAAAGTCTTTGCTTCCTTTGACGACGACAACTTTGTTCTCCGCTGCATCTTTATTCTAGATTTATACGTATAAATGTAAAGGTATACATGTACCGGAATTCCGCCTACGTGAACATGTTGGTCCTCCTCGTCCCTTGGTCCCCAACCCACCTGTCGCCATCTTTTTTCCCCTCATTCTTACTCTTTAAAGAGTAAAGGTGCTCGAGATAAATTGGACGTTCTTGAAAGCCTTACTGTCGCATCAGTGTGAAAAAAGAACTTGTTCTTGTTTTTATTCTTGCTCTTGTTGTTCTTCTTCTTCATCTCATTTCATTTTATTTTAACTTTTTTTTTTTTTTTATCCTTCTTTTCCAGTTACGGAAGTAAGTTAGCTAGCCAAAAGACCGAAAGAAAGTACCTTCTAAAGCTGAAATCTTATCGGTTCTCTTCGGTAAGTTCCGTAAATCATCCAGTTCCGTAGTGGCGCATTATCTAATGGACCGTTTAGACTTTTAGACACCTTACAGCTTTAGCACACCAAGCTCAACAAAAATTATTATGCCCTCAGAATATTATTTTATTATAAAAAAAATATACTTAAAACTTTTTATTACCAACTCAGATTCAGCTCCACTATTTTTGAATCATCCAATAATTTATAATATTTATTTGCTGTGCTTTCGACTGTAATAATCCACTCTATGATGATATGATATGATTATATATTATACTTAGCAAACTATATTAATTTAGTTGGCAATTGAGTACGAAGAATGAGGAAGAAACCCACGTAGTAAGTTTAATTATCAGTGAGGATCATTTTATTTTTGGATTGCGGAATTAAGCTGGTAATTTTGTAGAAAAATGTTACGGATATAATACCAGCGATTTTAATCGCTTTAAAAGCTTAAAATAGAGTATGTGTGTGTATTTTTTTTTATTTCAACTTTTTTAAATGTCAGCCGGAAAATAAAGTACCGAAAATTGATAGCCAAACAAAAAGTGACGATAATACATTATACGCGGTTTATTTAAGGTTTATTAATGAAACCGGATAATTTATCAAGTATGATCTATCGATGGCTAAACGGCAGCTGGATAAAATATAAAATATTCGCACGTTTATATCTAGTTGAATAACTGAATACACAATTTCGGGCGGACGATTATTCCAATTTCCCTCTCGATTTAACTGCCCATTCAAAAGTATATACATGTAAATGTATCACTAATTCAATATGACCTCGTTTTAATTTATAACACACACACATAATAATAATATAATACATCCAGTTGTAGAGGGATTCAAAACCGGAAGCATGACTAATTATAATTATACACATTTATTATTATATTTCGCTTTTATTACGATGTTCAGTGCCATTGACGCTAGTTTTAATAAATTACAACACTTTCAAAAATAATAAAAATATTCATTTCATTTTCATAACCAGAATAAGTTATCATTATTTTCAACATTAACCAAATTTATTTATTGTCATGTTTCAGGTGTCGAAAACAGTGAAAACAACATTTCGATCAATAATAATTAAAATATTCAAAATTGTGACCTCATTGTTTGTTAAATAAAAAATTCAAAGTTAGTTATTGTAAAATTTTAACGAACTTGTCGATTGTACGATTTTTAGAATTTAAATTTGTAGCTGTTCCCGGAAGAAATGAGATCAAATCAAAGTTTAAGTGTATTCAAGAATAGTTATCGTTAATATTTAATACTACTCATGAGAAAAAGTGAAAAGCATTGATTTGCTAATTTAAGAATAAAATATTACATTTCTTTTAAAAATGTATAAGCATTAATATCTTTTATTTTTGTCACTTATATAAAATAAAAGAAAGCATATTACTTAAAAAAAAAAAAAAAAAAAGCCAGAAATAAACTCGGCGTATCGAATAAAGATTTATCTCATCGCTGACTTTTACCACTATTTCATATAATATATTTATATAGCTATATTTGTGTTTATATAAGCAATAACGTCGGTCGTTCGGTTGCATCCTGAATCGCGATGTGAGTGTCGGTGTGTCCGGTCCTCGGTTCGAACACTCAGCAGACCGGGAATCCTCGTCCCTCATCAGATTCCGAGTTACACCAGACTCACCCTCACGACACATTGCTCACGGAAGGTGCCAAAGGCAACGTGCTCCGCATAAAATCTTGAGTAACCGTTCGTTTCCTTTTATTTCCTCAACTCTTTTTCCTCTCTTTACTCACTTTTCCAGCTCCCCTTATCCAACATAGATTTAGATATAAATATGTCGAGCGGATTCACTTCCGGCGGAATCGAGAAATGCTTCTTGTATGTTCAGTTTTTACCTCGTGACGCTCGGGACCGGTAAAATGTCAAACACGTAACCTACAAGAGATCCATCTTTTATAATAACAAAATCACCCTTTTATTTCCTCATTTTTATTTTCAATTAAAATTAAACCCTACTTGTCACTTTCCGATCCAACAACTGATATTATGTAATAATATTAACCGACAAAAAAAAAAAAGGTAAAAGGGTTTTTGTCACACGAGATAATTATTATTTTAATACTATAACAGTAATATGAATTTTCCTGTCACGCGTGCTTCCGTTAACTGACGTCCGGTTTTTAATAATAATAATGATAATTTAATTATTATAAAGGAAAATCCGGTGGGTACATCGGTAGCTCATACGTGGCGTTAATTATCCTCGCCAACTCTACGTAAAATGTAGAAAAGGTATCAGCGTGCACAAACACTGCAGAGTTCTCTGCAGGAAGTTTTCATCAAGTAATGCTACTCTGTAAAACTTTTTTTTTTTTTTTTTTTTTTTTTTTTTTTTTTTTTTTTTTTTTTTTTTCATGTATGCCAAACATATCAAAGCCATTAGCAATCGCATTGTATTACAATTTCCGTCAAATAATTTAATAACTATCATTATAACTATACAAGTTCACAGGTTATGTGTAAATTTTCAGAAACTATTCATTGAACAATTAAACTCCGATAATCTGACGGTTGAAGCAAACTTTTTGACAATCTCTATGCGACGTAGAATAATGAGAAATTGGCTGACGTGTTCTCGTGTGTGAATCCAATGTGTACCCAAGGATTGAGGTATGAGAGAACGAGAACACACATGAGCTAAAGCCATATGATGAATAAGGGAGAGGGATGGATAGATATTGTATGTGAATTACGCAGGGATAATGGATGTTTCCATCAGCGGGAGTGTAACGGAAGCTTATAACGTGCTCGCTGTTGAAGTTTCGTTGAGGTAAGCGGGATGCCCTAGCAAATTTAAGGCAAATATGTGACTGGCTGTACACGCAATACATAACATCTATGAGTAAGTGTCGGCTGGCGAAATTCCAAAATATCTGTCCCCGTGCAGTTATATTACTGTAGGGCCGTTTCCGCGATCATGCTCGGATTCTATTTGGGTTTTCGAAGTCGGATCGGTATGGCAGTTGGTAGTTAGTCGGATATCTCATGGCTCTCGTATCCGGGGATCGGGGATCTACGACAGCTTGCCGCGTCGCGATATTATCCTATCGTAGCTCCGCGTCTGCATGCCATGGTCTGCTTTTCCTGCCGCTCTATAATCCATACATGTATCCTCTATTCTGTTCTATTCTCTTGTGTTTTGTGTATATTCATTCGCATGACCTACATAATCCCGGCCTGATTTGCCGGGCAAAATATAAAAATCCCCGTCTCCCGACAGCAGCTCGGGACACGAGATTTTCCGATTCGCGAGTAGCGATAGGCTCTGCTAAATCTATGTATAAATGGAGCTTACTGGGCTGCAAAAAAAAGACCACCTGGCTGGCTACATGACTTCATGTTGGTCGACATGGCTTTGTCTGTTGCTTTTTTATTTTCGGAAATTTTTCACGTTGCTAAATATTACGGAGAATTAGTTAAATACTAAAACAATCAAAACCTAACAACGAACAATCTGAATCACAAACTGAAAGCAAAGCGGGGATAAAATTCAACTGGTATTGGGGATGTATATTATACGGTTAAAACTGTCCATGTTGTAATAGCGAGCTCGGTATTGTTTCTCTGGATGGTTTTAATGGCTGGCTGATGGAAGTGGAGATATATTATTAGGAATTTCGAGCATTCGATTGTCTGTTGATCTAGTGTGGGATCAACGACCAACAATCAAGAACCAGCTGCCACCAGAAATATTTATATTGATAGAATATTATAGGATTGTGGAGATAGAATAGAGCGAGGTATTTCATCGGCCGCGAACGATCGATCGGATCAAAGGAGCTGAGAAATTTTATAGAAATAAGTATTAAATGAACCGGGCGACGAACGGCAATCGATCTAGTCCCGAGCCGTCTGTCTACCTATGTATATTTATTATTCTCAGCAGTGTGCAGTCATGGGGTTACGATAAATATATGGATAGAGGTATTTGGTGTGTAGCAATCAACGGTAATGCACCAGCAGCCTCGATTCCTCGACCAGAATCGACGCTCTCGGCGTCTCTCGTGTGGTTTTCCATTGGCTATATGCTTCACCGCTGGGATTATCGCGGCTCTATGTTATACAGTCCAGCCTGGTGGGGGTGGTAGAGCAATAAGGGAGGGTTTAAACTCCGACTCTCAGCCCTCAACCCTGGATCACCTAGTTTTGAATTCCTTCGATTAGATGAAAATATACACCGGCATTCTACGCGCGGCCTAACTCATCCTCGTTCTGATATATTACCAGATAGATCCACAGATATCTGTAAATATATGGAATTGTATTGTATAACTAAACTGAACTGAGCAGACAAAGTTGCATTTCATGACCGAGATTTAACTTAACAACGACGGGTAATACTTTATACAAACATATGTCATGGGGAAAGCAGTTATTATACAGCAAAGTTTCTTTTCAATAGAGATATTTCTTGAATTTTTATTTCAGCTTGTACATATATATGTATGTAAAGGCTGCCTTTTTTAACAATTTATTACTTTGACATACTTTTGAAAATTCTTTACAAATTTTTTTAATAAAAATTTTCCTCGAAAACGGATACTTTATGCGGAGCAAAGGCGGAGATTATTTATTATTAAATCTAAAATTCAAATATCGGAATCTAGAGCCAGCCGGTAGTTGAGGAAGTTGGGTTAAATAAAATAAAATATTATTTTAAAAGAATTCACGAATAAAGTCGAGCAGTCGAGTATCTCTGCCCTTTAAAAGATTAATAAATAAATAATTGATTGCTTTTAGCGGGGTATAAATTTTACAGCAAAAGCACCCTGGGGATTCAAAACAATTCAGTGAGCTTTAGTTTCCCCTTCCCTTCTTTTTTTTTCTTTTTCCATTCCGTTGTTTTGTTGGCTGTATCATGAAAACAGTCTAAAAGTCTGCAACAAGTTCTTAAACCGTACAAAGCCAAACCTCTTAACTGCTCAAATAAAATATAAAGAATATATCCCCTTGTGCAATATAGTACTCGAGTTTTGAGCCCAAAGCCCAACTGTTCTTCCTGCTACACAAAATACCACGTATGGTTTTATAATACATGTACACAAATACGTTAAAACGGTATCGATCTCTACTCGGGAGGGAGTAGAGGGAGGAGAAGGAGGCTTTTTATATTTTTGACCCTCTGGAGGCTCGCATTCGTTTCGCGCGTCGCCGGTCAACCGAGACGTTGTTGCAACCGCTATTCGGTACTGCTCCATGCTTGCTGTGTGAGATCCATACGGAAACACGTATGGGTGAAAAAAAGACGCACACCAGGGTACTTGTACAGGTCGATCGCTTTGACAGGTAGCTTCCGATATATTCATGGTGGTAATCTCCATTAGTCAAGTATTTTATCAGTTTTCGTGTTTGTGTGACAGACGTCACCGTAAGAGCTTTCTCTCGTTTTTCAAAACTAGAAAATACGAAACACTGAAGGCAAATGAAAAAAAAATACAAAAAGAAAAAAAATGAATAGTCAAACGGAATAAAAGGGAGCTTCAATTAACATCACGATCCATGTCATCGATCCCTCCGAGATTTCGAAATGTTTATACACATCAAACCCGCATTGATTTTTGTTTAGCATTTTGTTTGAGCGAAACAATGAAAATATTTGTTGAAAAGAACGCTATGTTGAAAATTTATGATTTCAAAATAGTTTACAATATTTTTACTTTATCAAGTTGCTGTTGAATTTTTTAAGAGTACTATGTATTTGTAATTGAATATTTTCCTGTTGTACATTCCACTTGAATAAATTTTAAACTTTAAAAATGATTATTTTATCAATACAAAGTTCGATTTTTACATTGAAAATTAATACTCGAACGGTAACACGACTATTAAAAATTAAATTTATCAAATTTCAACGTAGAAAAATTTATTAACTTTCAATAAATTAATTTATTTAGTATAACTAATTATTTTTTAACTGAAAAAAAAAATCAATTTATCTGAATAAATGATTAATTAACTATTAAAAAAAATTTTTATCAGTGTAATAAAATAAAAAATAAAGTATGAAGATTAATTTACCGTTCGCACAAATTGCTTGCACTGGGGCTTGTAAGCGTTGGTACCGCAGGCGATGAATTTGTTGGGGCCCTGACGTCCAAAAACTCTGACGTAATTTTGGCAGTCGTCCTCGCTTGCACCCTTCAGATTACACATCTCCCTGTGGGCCGCAGAACTCGACCACTGAACTCTCTGCAAAAGAAATTACAAAATTAATAACAAAGCCAAGGAAGAGAGAGAGAGAGAGAGAGAGAGAGAGAGAGAGAAAAAAAAAAAGGAAAGACATAATGACTGCTTAAGAAATATAAAGAAAGATTATTTCCTTTCTTACGTCGTGATTTTAATTTTCTACTCGCCTCGAATCCGCGAGTCTACCTTTATTTCAGTCTACAGTCGTTTATATTCTTCTTTCATCATATATATATATATATAAACACTGGTCTGAGGTCTGGGTCTGGGTCTGGGTCTGGTATAAGTACCGGCAGAAGATCGCTGTAGAAGCAGAAGTAGAGGGGGAAGAGGGTTCTCGTCTCGTCTCCACTTTGGCCTAATTAGAATACGACCACGTCGTAACAGGCGTGGGTAGGTGCTTGCGAGCAGAGGAGAGGAGAGAGCTGAGACCTGGCTAAAAGTTTAAACCGCAAAATCGCACTGAATATTCAACGGCTTATACACGGGTTTCTATTCGCAGTTCTCCGCTTCCGGACCACCGCTTGCTCTCTTTACATATACATATTTTCTAAATACATTCATTTATATATTTATAGATAGAAAAAAAAAAAAACGTACACAGACAACGTATACCGTTGAACTACTGCTAATTTTAACAGAATAAATTCTACTTTTCCCAAATGCATTGTTCCCGTTCACTGCATTCGGATATTTATTTCCATTACTCCTATTATACTTTCGCGGCAGGACATAAAATAAAAAATAAAAATAAAAACTAAAACTAAAACTGAAACAAAATAACTTATATATCACTGCGGCTTTTAAAATTTTAAATCATAAAATACTTTAGTGGTACATTACATACACAAGTGTCTGAGTGAAATATAGCCCTGAAAAAAAATGTTTAAAATTGAAAAAAGAAAGTTCACTTATATAACACTCGAGACGAATGAGCGACAAAGCACGTGGAAAGGGTCAAGAGTTTAAAGTGTGTAGCAGAACCTGTAGTTCGAGGCTCAGAGCCTTGGAGCCTGAGAATAGTGTACTAGTAGTGTAAGAGCTAAAGGTAAAACAGTCGGTTGAAATACTTGCGTTAAATAGGATTCATAAATAACAGCAAATGTTTCAGGTTGTTTGCCCACAGGGTGAAATACTTTGACTCAGCAGTACAGTACCGTATTCCTATTCCTTTTCCTATTCCAATGGCTGGTAGTGGTTAAAAGGCTCAGCAAAATGTTTATACTTATACAACGATTTCCCGGCAGTAGATTGCCAGAGTGGTATGTGTTATTACGGCATAGACAAGTGAACAGCTGTAGCGAGGCCGAGAGAAGTACAAAGTAAAAGAGGAAAAAGGTAAGAGGAAGGAGGGTTAGTTGTTTCACTCAGTAACTCACAACTACACCTCTAACTAAATAAACTTGTTCATTTGTGCAGTAACTCTCGGTCTAAATTAGCCTCTGCACAAGACACACGTTTACCTCAATGACTTTTCTTCACGCACCATTCAACGGATTATTAACCAACCGACGAACCACCCCACCCTTGCTTACATCTGGCTTCTATGTGTGTGATGTCTTTCTCTCTACTTTGCTGGCTGTTGCTGTGTCTACCTTTGAGAGCACAGTGTGTGTTTAGTGCATTTAGTCTGCCAGAGGGTCGGCTAATGGCGTGGAATAATTTTACCTGCCGAGGCAGACGCGACAGACGCGACGACTTTGTATCTATGTATGTAGCACGTATAATATACATTACACCTGTTAAAGAAATATCGCTCGAGACTGAATGAGAGGGTGAGAGGGCGAGGGTGTGTATGTGCCCATAGAGTGCCGAGGTGATGTACACGCTCGCTTTACGGTAAATAGATTAAATTTCTCTCCTTCTCCTTCCCTTTGTCGGGCGCGACGAGCGGAAATATAGGTGAGGTGAAAGGGTTCAACGGGAGGATACTCTCGATGATGATGATAATAATGATGAGAAAAAGTCTCGACTCTCCTAATTTAGCAGTGCATGAGCAGTAGGAGGCTTCCAGGGGGCTACTTGGCAAAAATAACGAACCAAAATTAAGGAGAAGGGGAGCAAGTCGCCGTTTCTGTGCTGGGACAGGGACAGGGGTATGCTTGATGATACCAGAGGAGAATAGATTTAATTTGCGCTAAAGTCCCCTTTGACGTAGACGGACATTTTACGGAAATGGATGGATGGCACGTGACTGCCTCGTCTCACCCAGTCCGTTTGTCAGCTGCTCATCTCTGTCCTTTTCTTTTCTTTTATTTCCCTTGGCGTTTTTTTGCTCTGTACTGACTGTATAACCGTTGTAAAATATGTGCTTAGGTTTTTTCCCACCCCCTTGGTCAATTGGGTTTTAATTCGCTTGACTTTTTGCTCCAAAATTGTTCAAGAGAAATCGCTAATTATAATGCCGGGTATTTATATTTTCATATCGGTGGAAAAAAATTACCGTCATTAGTTGGATCGAAGAAATTTTATTAGATGAAAGATAAAAAGGGAGTGGTTTAATAGTACCATTATTATTATTATTATTATTATTATTAACATTTTTAGTACAAAAAGTAAGTTTATCCTCGGTAGAGTTTGAGATAAATTTAAAGTTATTTTTTATGATTGATATTCCTGGTTTTATGAATGAATTAAAAGAACGGAAGAAGTGAAGAGACTGTAATTTTCATTCCCGTTGGTTTTCCTGGTTTGTGGTGAGGTGCTACTCTACATATATATTATGTACTTAATGCTATATATTATAATGCGCTCGCGAGTACGATGACTTTAACAACTACCAGGGAACGACAATTCTACTAGTTCTACTTATATTATTAGTATTACTCTTACTACTACTACTACTACTAAGACTAGTATGGATATTACTAAAAGCAACACGAATATTCTTATTAACTTATTATGTTTATATATTTATAGATATATATTAGAAGGTATGACAATGGAAGTATAAATGTAAGACGTCTTGTGGATACCGTACTAAGGCATATAATCGGATGAGTCAACTCAGTTGTGAGCTCGGTGCTTGGTTATTGTTTTTGTTAACGATACTCGACAAGCAATCCCTAATCTCAGGTAATTACTGTATTTTGCTAAAAAAAAATTAGTTTTTAAAATACAAGAGAATAAAGAATGAGAAATGCAAATAAGTATTAAAAAATCTAAATTATGATGGTAATATAATATTGCAGATGAATGTTAATGTTAATGTCAACCCGATGTTAAAAAGCTAACAGTATTATATTTTGCACAGAAGATAAAAAGTAAAGAAGTTGATTCAGCAGTGCGTGTAGAGTTACGTCGAGTGCGCTACTTTACAAAATGGATATAAAATATAACAATGTACCCGGCTGACATCTGAGTTTCCGTATAAGTAAAACTGCTAACGCAAGAAAACTAACATGAGAAAAACATCAAGTGGAGAAAATAGAGGGTGGGGGAAACAAGAGAGAGAAAAATGATAAGAAAGGTGGAGAAAAGAGAAAAAGAAAACGAAGAAGGATGAGATGCTTGACGACAAATCCATTTGGATAGGATCCAAAAGCTGGTCTAAAGAACACCTTGCATCTTGAAAAGAGGTATACAAACTTCTCGTCGATATTCTCCCTGACAAACTCGACATCTTGATATCGAGCTAATTGCGCTGGTTGTTGTTGTTATCAGTATCTATATCTCTATCTTTTACTTTTTCCGGGAAAGATGCATAATGAAAGATTTTGAGAGAAAGGAGAAGGTATCATCAGGACGAACCACTCTGGCTGCTATTCAAGATATCATACTTCTTTTACAGAGAATCAAACTTTCAGAACAATGTTGAGATACTTTTTGACGTTGCTTTTTATAATTGACGAGGTATAATGATTACATTACATAATTATTTTAATAATTTATGTCACTTTTTATTAATTTTAATAAAATTAAAATTTGTTATCCTGAAAAGTTGAATTCAAACTTCTACAACTTTATACAGAATAAATAAACCTTGGCATTATTCAAATTTTATGGTTTCAATAACAAAGTTCCACGATAATGTCAATCAGAATTTAGCGATAGTATAATCTACAATTTTAACAAAAAAAAAAAAAAAAAAAAAAAAAAAAAATCCAATTCATGATTATCTAATCAGTTCTATTTAAAGTGAATATAGTTCTGTTTAAGGAGATTAGACTTTCTTAAGAAAAAAATACAATGCAAGGAAATGATTAAAGTTCCAATCAGAAACAGACTCTAATCACGTTAAACGTTCCATTATTATCTCCAATCAAAAGAATCTACAAACAAATAATTAAAAACAACAAGCAAAGAAAGAATTAAAAAAATAACTTGGTCTGAGTTTAATAAAAAATAATCAAGAGATAATTAAACGATGTTTTAAGCAGAAATTAATATTTTTTACTTTTATATATTGAACAAAGTGTGAAAGGGTTTAATTTTAGCGAAACTGAGATAATAAATATAACAAGAGCCGTGGATGGCTGATACATATATGAGAAAGGGTGTGGGGAGAGTAGATGGTAATGGTGGTTTAACATGTCGAGTGGTACGGCAAGATAGCCTGTATAGTTTATAAGTGTGCAGTGGTACCTAACCCGTGAGCCGTGGAGCCTGCCGATGTGGATCAAGTTATGCGCGAACGGTGGCGAGTTTTTACTACGGCTGAGTGAATGACCGGTCAGAGCCGCCTCTCGCTGCTGCGTGTAGTCGAGTACGACGACCAGAGTAGCGGTCGAGAGTCTAGACTCCTGTATAGTATGCTATATCCGTAGATAATATTATATGTAAGAGCTTGGTGGCTGGCGACCAAGGAACTTATTTCACCGTCAATGTGTATTTATATGATCAATGCCGGTTCGTTGATTCCCTGATCCGCAGAGCCAGCGATATAATACTTTATTTATCAGTGGATCGATCGTATTTTCTCATTGAAGCTGAAGCTCGCTGTGCTGTAACGTCGGACATTCCGGTCAACGTTCTGTTGACGTTCTGACTTAGTATCTTCAACGCGACTTAATTAGTCTTACGGAAAAGTTTTCCCGTAGGATTACGTCGTGAGTTTACTGTCAACAAGGTTGTTGTTGGCGGAGACCAGCAAGCCACGTTTTATCTTTCTCGATCTGGAGTCTCAGCACCGGTGGGACTGTGAGCATTCACACACCAGAACAAACACATGTGTCTTCTGGGTCTTCCAGCAGCGAAAAGTACTGAGCTGGTTCTCGAGAACCAGAGACTGGAATAGGATGGGATGGCAACTCCTTCTGAGGGAAAATCCGACTGATGTTAGTTAGATATTGTGTGAGTTGTTTGGAGAAAAAAAAGCTTATACACGGTTACATTTTACTCGAGTTCCAGCTTGCAGCTTGCAGCTTCTAGTTTCCAACTTGGATGTTAGTACCGTAGCGGTGGGTAAGTCATTAACGGGATTTCTTCACCACGCTACTCATCCCTTTCATCTTTACTCGCTTAGGAGCCTTTTTCCTGAAGCTTTTCACTCTGGCACGGGGTATTTTACTTTAGTTTAACAACACCGGGATATATACATCTGTTGGGCGCAGAATATAAGCGATTTTGTATGCCAACCATGTGTGTGTGTGTGTGTGTGTGCGTGTATGTTGAGCGAATGTAAATGTGAATGTGAATGTTATTTATTTGCCAGAGAATATATATCCACGATCTATGCATGCACATGACTGTATGCCCGTTAACGTGATTACCTAATTTACATTTCAACCATTTGCCGGATGTAACTGTCAAAATGACTAGCTGCTAGATGAAGTCAAATCTCATTCCCGGTATTCCTTTTTTCATTATTATCATCATCATCTCACTGGTGGTGTAATTGTAGAACAGAAATTTAAATCAGAGTCAAAGTCAGAGTCTGACTGAGAGCAAGAGTGGCTTGCTACAATACGATGTTATTATACCGCGGTGGTAAAAATCGAGACGAGTGATGGAAAGAGCCGCGAGTTATAAGGGGAAACGGTACAGAAATAAATCACAACTTTAATTAAATAAATCGCTGGGGAGAGAATAATACAAGATTTTAAAATTATAAAATTTACCTGGTCGGCGATTTCCGAGAGGTCGTGGAGACTGATGTTGTAGATGGCATTCCTGTAAACCAAATATATATGGAGATTAATGATAATGATTAGTCGAGTATTAATGCGACAGATAGATAGAGATGGATAGACACAAATCCTGGTGGGTTTTGTGTATAATTGAGCTTAAGTGACACAAGATGGAGGAAGCTTTTGGGGATTTGATGCGCGCGTGCTGCCTCTACGGGTGCTGTCATCGCCCAACTCATCGATCTTCCTCAATTAGTAGGGCTGTGCATAATTATCGAGTTCAGTAGCAGCGGCTCGGGCAAAGGGCGAGGGAGCTTGGAGAAAGAGAACGAGAGACCAGAGAGAAGAGAGAAGAGAGGGAAAGAGGTACGTGCCCGCGTGATAAACGTGTGCATCCATTATCGGAGGCTCGTGACGGCTTAGCTCGCGGTCGGACGTGAAATTGATTATGCTCGGTATACCGCTCTCGCGCCCACCGCGCCATCCGCACCGGCATAGACATAGACACACTGAGAATCCCCAGCACAGCCGCCGTTGCCGTTTCTATCTCCTCTATCTCTCTTCCGTTCCCGTTTATTCCCATCCCCATAGTCTGCATCAATTCATTCCCAGGTTTAAGCTTCTTTTTTTCCCTCATATTATTATTATTATTATTATTATTATCATCATCATTATTATTATTATGGCATGGTGATAGTCCTACTGCTAAAAGTGGAAGATTTTTTAACGTTACGCTGGCTGTTAGTTGGCGAAATTTCGCGCCCGAAGGATAACCGGGAGTAGACCGCAATCGCGAGCAGAACGAGCTCGTAAAAAATTTACATACGAAAATGACGGGAGCGTTTTACGGGCATCCAATTTTCTTGGCGCTGTGAAGCGCGAGACCGTTTAGAGATGTGTCTTTTGTGAAGACAAGGAAAAGGAGGAAGGGAGCTTTATATTTTTTAAACCTGACAAATTTATAATAGCTTTAATATGGAGGCAATGCTAGACCCACTTGTAATAATACTTAAAATTTATCTCTTATTTTTTTTTTTTTTAAATAACTTTTTAAAAGTTCCCGAGGTACGTTTGAGCGTGAAGGAGATTAGCAGAAGTGAGAGTGGAAGTGGGATGAATCAAGGGTAAAAATAAAAGGAAAAAAAATGGGTGTTTAAATAATTTATAAAAATTCTTAGACGCGAGGGTTAGATGAAAGTCTAGGGTAAGAAGTGTGTGATGGGGTTTAAACACGGTGAAAAATATTACCTTGCACCAATCAGGATAAAAGTCGGCGCTCGTTCGAGAAGTTTGAAGTGCTCGACGTGACTCTCGTTGCCCAAGAAGCGCTGCCCAATTACTTCCCCTGGAAAAAATAAAATAAAAGTTTAAAAAAATAATGTATATAATAAAACACGATGGTAAAAATTCGTGAGTTAAGCTGCTGCTAGTAAATCGAGCGTCGCTTACGTGTAAAGCATTGCCCGCTCGCATGTACGCCTCGCATTTCTATTCGATTCGGGGGTCGGAGATCGGGGTTGAGTATACACTACATTCCCCAAGTGTCCGATAAATTTGCGGGTTCTGCTCTTGAGAAACAAGGGGGTCTTGAGGAAACAAATGTATGGACAGATAGACGCTAGACGCTAAGGAACTCGAGGAATCGCGGGCTGCTTTCGTTTAAATAAATGAAAAAAAAAAAAAAAAAATAAAAAAATAAATTTAGAGGGGTAGAACATGGAATATTCTATCGTGCCTTATGTGTATTCTCGGCATTGAGTTATATTCAATTTCCAAGCTCGGCTGTGCTCTTGAAACATTGATAAATCTATTATTTGTGTCTCGGTCTGGAGAAAACACATTGAATCAACTACCTAGATTTTTATTTTGTTTCGAGCCACAAAAGTTATTTTTATATTTTAAAACTAAACTTTTCTCTCCTTTTTACCCTCCTGGAAAATGAAAAACCATCTGCAGAAGCTCGAGAGAGACAAATGGGAAAGGAATTTACAAAGTTTACTGAGAATAAAAAAAATGTTTTTTAAATAAAATAATAAAAAAACAAATAAATGAGGGTATAAGACGCGAAAGAGTGACTGAGTAAGAACTAAAAAGTATCAAGGAAAAATGGAAAGTAGAGAAAAGTGGAAAAAGACAAAGTGGTCGGTTCTTGATCACGTGTCGCTCGTAAATTAAGGTCGCACTCGTACCACACCACTGGCAGGAGCAGTACTAGTTGTAGAAAGAAAGTGCGCAATTTTGGAGAGAACTAAAGTATGAAATTAAAAAGCTTTCGCGTTAGCATAGGATAGCCCCTCCGAGAGCCAGTCAGCCGGTCCCGGAGCACCACCACCGGAATGTATAATATGAAAACCGCGAAACCATGATACCGATTATTCCTGGATGAGAGCAATTTACCCATCACCGGGTTAATTCATTACCCAGTATCGTGAGTCTGATCTTTTAAATTATATTACATACACGTCGGGTTTAATTTTTAAAAATAATGGGGATTTGCAGGCACAGTTGCCGATCGGGATGTTACGGGCTGTCAGCCCGATGAATTAATATCAAGTGAGGTCACGAAGGTCCTCTACATACACGGATACATTCATACATACACCGATTGTTGGTGGTGTACATGAGCCTAGACATTGGATCGGTTTCAATTATCTCCGGGCACTTTGCTGGGCAAGACACTCTTGATTCGGGAAGCAGGTCCAACGAATTTACGGGATCTGCTAAAGTGTTTTCACATAATGTACACCTAAACCCTATCTCCGTATCCTGTGTCCTATATACCAGGGTCCTAGTTACGACCAGGTACATATTATAAGACGTATATACCAACATTGATAGGAGGTAAAACGGTCACTGTAAATACGTATCTAATCTGTACATATGGATTATAAAGGTATACGCTCTATACGCACATCCATGAATACATAGATGATGTATAGATTGAGGCTGGAGGTGTACCAGTACATGCTGCTATTTGAAGCATGAACAAGTTAAATCAATATCAGCATCTTAGCCCTTAGGCGATTGACTTGGATTTTGCGTTAACCAACAGGAGTTCAAGTATCCTCGACAAGTTCCTTCCATCATCCTCGAGGACACGAACGTGACGGACTTGCTCGAATAGCTCTTGGCCACCAAATGCCCTCGTTATTGCTCTCTGCTAAATGGATTAGAGTCCAATGCCAAGTTTCTGTTCTGGAAGGACCATCTACCACCCACGAGTGGAACTACCACAGAAGCTCTTCTTTCCCAACTGTATGCTGTGTGTAACTTGTTTCTGTGTGTAGAGGAAGAAAGAGCAGCCCTTTGATGCTCCATGACTTTACTCCACTCAGAACGGCTACTGTCACTGTCTGTGTACTCGGTACTCTCCTGCTCTCCCGTTGTTTATTTTATTTTCATCACAAGGACTGCTAAATTGACGTGTCGAACGCGACGAAAGGGCTAGCTGGCGGACGTATAGGACGCAGAACATAGGACATGCCAGTTTGGTATAAATGTATGTATGTATGTATGTATGTATGTATGTATGTATGCATGTATGAAGCTGGTGGCTGGGGAGGATGAGCTGGGACAACTCAAGTTGGCAGACAGACTGGCATGTATACACTCGTCGTGAATCATCGAGTCACGCGAGTAGAGAGTGTACGAGTCAACGACGACGACGTCTCCACGTCGAGGTTGTCGTAGTGTTGTTGTTGTTGTTGTTGTTGCACTAGATCAGACCGTGCCTAGTTGTACCGCCCTTCATCATACAGCTCACACAATCTACTCCTCTTTACGCTCACTACTCTTTCATCTTTTGATTAATTGATGTGCCACTTTTTATAACCGTTTTTTTTACTCTATTTAGCTTCACTCACTTCCAAGTTGAGCCAAATTTGTTTACTCAGGGTTTACATATGTAACGTTGCTAATTTTTAAGTTTAAAAGAATAATAAAAAAGATGATGTAAATATACTTGAGCGAAAAATAAAGCGCTAGAAAATGTTAATTAAGTTTTTTTATTATTAAAGGAACTTAATAATTTAGTTAATTTAATAAATTGATGATCTAATTAACCCGAGAGTGAATATGGAGTTTGGAGTATGGAGCTATTCTAGATGGTAGTTTATTAGCGATAACCATACCATGGCGATGTATGAAAATAAATAATGAGGGCACTTATTTACATGGGAATAATTGGAAAAGTGGGTGGTGGCGATGGTGGAGAAAGTGTAGGTGGAGGTGGAGGTAGAAGTGAGAAGGGAGAAGGGAGAAGGGAAGTAGGGAAAATAATATATTGAATGAGTCGACGGAATAATGTACGTTAACTGTGATAATGACGGCGTTGGATGGTAGTGGGAACGATTGAGTATCGTCAGGGGTGTATTTCCTTTCCATATATCGTCCATTATTTGCAGTTTAATGAACAATTCTGAATAAATTGTAGATTCCGTGAGAATTATTCGAGCGATGCGGCTGATACCGCTTTATGCCCCGTTATTGGATGAACGACCGTCGAATCAATTGTACTTTAGCTGATAAATATATAACGTACTGTGTATCTGACCGACTGTAATCCCCAGTGATTTCCACGTATCAACATTCCATCGCATAATCTAATTATCTGATTCTTTCATGGTTGATAGAATTGCTAGAAAGACGGTTAAATACCGCAGCTTAAAATCAAAACTTTAAGCAGGTTAAGTTAATTTAAGGCATTGTTCTGAAATATGCAAATATAAACCAATAAACAAGAGAGTATAAAATCATTATCACCGTGATAATTAATGACTATCGTCGCTGACCTGGTTTTTGAATAGCTTTTATTATTTATCAGAAAAGACTATCAAAGAATTGTTAACAAACTCAGGAACGTAATGAGCAAGAAAGCGTATGTTCCGAGATATTTACCGGGACTGAGAGTAAATCAATAATTACTTGTATTGGGTTTCACATCAAAGACTTGACAACTGGAGCTGTCCTGGTGTGGCAAGTGAGTAGTTGATGTCAAAACACACGGAAATCCAAGAGAGAAAGGGTTCAAGATTATATAAACATATATAGCATACAGTCACTTTACTCTAGAGTGAGCATTACACATGGTGGTACTGTGAATTGCCTTGTCTTGTTTTCCCGGTACATTGTAAACACGAACTCGGTATAGGAGAGTTAGGGACAACTTTGTACACGTTTGTGCTAGGTAGAGGTAGCCTGGTCTAGTACTCGACTATGCTCAATGCATAGTTTACAGCGTCCTCGTACTTTGCATACATTTATCTCTCCTATAAAATGATGACATACAACAACATCAGGTACCTATATTAATTGGCATATTCATACTCTGCTCTATGAATTACAACAGGGAAGCTCTGGTGCTATACTATGCTATACTGCTCTACTGCAATACTGCGCTATCTACCAGAGACAACATTAGCAATCAACGAAAATTTAATTTATGCATGCTAAATGCGATACAGACTTTTGTTTGCTTTCTTGAGAGTCTGCTTTGTTTCACAGCAGTGCATAGTTCAATAGACGCCGCCTTCAGAGGGCGCTGCCAAAATAATTCCAAAGTAACGCCACTACTGTCAATACTAATTACTCGAAGGCATACGGGACATGCGAATACCTGTGAAAGAGGATTTTAAGACAAATACGCACAGGGTGTTGCACTTTGTACGGATCGCAAACCGAAGAACGAGGTCGGAAATTGATTATTTGAGAAATGAGAATATACAAGTGAAGGAAGTGAAGCGAATTGAACTACTTGAAGCACCTTGAAGGGGATGTAAGGAAGTAAGGAATTGGTTGGAAAGGAGTGAAGAGAATAGAAAGGGAGATGATCTGGAGCACAGCTGGTTTATACCAATGAGGATGTCTCTCTTGTGACTAAGGACTCGGTAATTGCGTCGTCGTCAATGAGAGAGTGAATTGTAAAGAAGAAAGAGGAGAAGAGAGGAGTTTTGAGTGGAAGCTAAAGAGGGACAATGCTAGAAGTAGTTTAGAGGGGCCAAGGGAAACCGTGATTGCGCCTCTTGTGATTAACGCTCGAGTTTCTTCGCCGATAGATTTTCAACTACGTAATACAAGCCTCGGGTCTTTTGCCTCTCGGACGGTTGTTTCGGTCCAACTTGGTTATTGTCCTGCGAGCGTGTACACACTGTTGAGGGAGTGCTGTACTAGATAAAGAGAAATTCATAGAGGAGGAAGGAACTGAGCCAAGGAAAAGGAGAGAGAGAGAGAGAGAGAGAGAGAGAGAGAGAGAGAGACAGAGAGAAAGATTTGAGAAGTGGAGCTATTGCCCGAGGCGTAGGATTTAACAAGCGGGGACAGCAAGAACCCAACGGGGCATGTGGAGTG